GTTCTATGTCGTGCCTCTCCAGGAGTACTAAAGAAATTTTTAGTCTACTGCCCAAATAAGGTGCTAAAAATCAGTGCCTTTGGCAGTTTTAGTGCCTTTGTACAGGCCCTCAAAGCTTAGTGCCTTTTAAAGGTAGGACAGCACCTTTGTTTTTCTGGTGTACCTCTGCAGAACATATACACTTAATTTCCAGAAAGTAAATCCTCACTTACTTTTGTTGGGGAGAAATGTTCTCGAATGTTGAATAGTACAGTTATTTTCTGTCGGTCCACTATCTCTTCGTCCTCTTCAATTTCGACATCCGTGTCAACCGCCTCGTTGAAGGAATAGAAAGTTGGAAAATTTAACTTGATCTTCTTACTTAAGTGGGGGTCTTTTCTACACATGATATCAAATTGATATTGTAAGTCTTTTAACGTGCCACTCTGCAACTTGAGGGCTTTCTTCCTTCCGTCCACCGTGATCACGACCGAAATCATCTTGACACCAAACACACCGTTCTTTCACAAGATGGCTACTGGGTGCCTTTTAATTTCCAGCTGATCTACCAGCTGGTCTTCCAGCTGACCGTTAGGCCTACTTGTCCGCAGCACATCGACGGATTCGCGCCAGTGAACGTACCAACTTAATATGTGAAACGCACGGAGAGGAATTGAGTTTTGATTTGGTAATATTTGTCGTCCCCTCTGACTGTTTATAGGGGAATCCTTATAATTAAAGATACATTTAGAATTGTTTTGGAAACCTAAACTGTTTTTCCCCCCTATGTCATTTCAGGGAAAGATAGAAAAGGGGGTAGGGTGCATTAGGAAGGAACCGAAGGAAAGAAACTCAACTTTGGACAGCACTGGACAGCACTTATGTGCCTGATATATTTTTGATTTTATAATGACATATTTTTAATTTTCTATGTAATTTTTTGAGGATCTAGAGTTACTTAGCGTTACTTGCCCTGTCCCTAGTTTTATTTTAAAATCTGGCACATCTTTTCAAATTTTAAATTTTTGCGCGGAGGAAACTGCATCTGGTATGGGGATATGGATGGAGACGTCTTTGTTGTTTTGTTCTCAGTTGTCAGTTGTCGTCTTGGTTGGGATCGTTTCGTTACTACTAGTTGCTTGCCGTGTGGGTTATTGTGTTTTGTGGATTGTAGAATATCTTTGCATAGTTGTCTTTGCCAAGGTTCACTTTCCTGTAATTTTTTTTAATAAAATAATTTTGGGAGAGGACTGAGCCTCTCCCGAAATGGAGTTCGCTTGCCCGGTATGTGGTGTGAAGTTTTCGAGTGACGATGATCTTCAGAGGCACGTCCTCGACGTTCATAAAAATCAGAAAGAAGAATCGATTAAGTATCAGTGTACTGCTTGTAAAAAGGCATGGAGCAACTTCAACACTCTGAAAAAGCACCAGTTAACTTGTGGTGTACAAGCTAGTACTTCAGGTTAGGTTGCTGTGTGTTTATCAAAATTGTTTTTTGACAGAAACAAAGTGCATAACTATGTCCCTGAACCAAGTTTCTCTTGGAAATATTGCTTGCTTAGTATTGGCAACTTAAATTACTTCTTAAAAATTGTACCCTATGATTTTGGGGGGTATTTTAAAGTTCCCACCTGTTACTAATTATGCTGTTTTGATTTGTTTAGGATCTGCTTCTGGTTATAGTGGTGAACAAACAGATGTGTTTAAGAGTGCTGTGCCAGTTGACGAAGACTCTTCTTTCTTACCGGATCATGGTGACAGTTTGGATTGTGATCGGTCTGAAACCGATCCATTTAACAACTCTTATGAAGGTATATAATTTTTTCATACGCCTGAGCTATGTATGATTGCTTATGTTGTGTAATTTCATGTGTTATTTTTATGATTAGATCGTCTCACTTCCTTGCAAGACGAACTTCAGGATGAAGTTGTCCAATTGCTTTGCGACCTCAAGGACAGCAATGCAACTCAGAACACTATTAATAAAGTAGTTGTCGGCGTTGAAAAAATAAAAACAATGGTTCTCTCTATTTGCGTGGTAAGTTATAATATTTACTTTCAAAAATGCACAACTTCTCATTCTAAATCTCTTTTTTTTTAGTACAAATTTGACACCCATTGATTTTCAACCTTTATTATAGAATTTACTTCAAGAAAAGGCCGGTGCAAGTGAAGTGTTGACTCTAAATGAAGCTGTGGAAACTTTAGAGGACTTGAAAACAATGTCTGTGTTTGATAAACTTGCAAAGCCTGATGAATTTCTTGATTACCTTGAAACCTATGAAGGTCTGGTTAAGCCTGTTAAAGTAGTGCTTCAACAGCAGCAAGAAATAGTTAACCAGAAACTAGTAGTTAAAGATAAAGACTTCTTCTACCAAGTTCCATTTCTGCCACAGCTGGAACAGCTCTTGAATTGCCCTGATGTGTTAAAATGTGTAGATAATCCTGAAGAAACCGATCAATGGACATACACAACTATTACAAATGGAATTGCTTATCGTAAACATCCCGTTGTATTGAAGTACAAAGATAGCAAATCAGAGGGCGAGGGCCCTCCACTGTGTGTTATTCTTTATCATGATGGAATTGACCCTTCAGATACAGCCTCTGCTAGATCTGGGAAAAACAACATGGTTTTCTTCTATTGGACTCTTGGCAACATTCACCCAAAGTTCAGATCAACCATCAAGGCCATTCAACTGTATGCAATTGTTAAAAGTACTGACCTCAAGAAATATGGTTATGCTCCTATTATGGACAACTTAATTAAAGCCATCAACGTCTTGTCATCAACAGGTGTTAGTTTTAACCTGAATACTCAAAAGAGATTGTTCCATGGCTTTCTTGAGTGTTCACTGGGTGACTATCCTGCCCAAGCTGCTCTTAGTGGATTCAAGATGGCTGTTACAGCTGGGAAGCCCTGTAGAGAGTGTTATGTATCCAATGAAGAAAATTATATTGACATCTCTGACTTAAATAAGTTTCAACTTCGTGATATATTTAACAGCATAAGAAACATTTGGAAGAAATAACTGCCTATAACAAGCTGAAAAGTAAAGAGAAAGCTTTAGTACAAGATCCTTCTGTTACTTTTGGGATTAATGAAAGAAGTGTCCTCTTCGACATTCAACACTTCAATGTCACTAAAAATATGCCTCAAGATTTGATGCACACTGCAAACGAGGGAGTTCTTTCTTATATGTGCCATTTAATTTTGAAACATGTCATTGTCGACCAAAAGAAGATTTCTCTAGCTCGAGTAAATACCACTATTGCTCAGCTGTCAAATGCATTCCCTGCTGACAGACCAGGACTAATCAAGGAAGAGCATCTGGCCCCTACGCATACCCTTCGCCAAAGTTCAGCTCAAATGAGAGTGCTGTCATTGCTCTTACCGTTTGCCTTACAAGTCAAGACGGCTGATGGTAGCTTACAGTTTGCTGGTGATGCAAAATATTTGAATTGCTTCATCAAATTTTCTCAAATTATGAATTTTTGTTTGGCTTACAAGTTTCATGTGACAGATGTGGAACTATTAAGAGCAAAAATTCAAGAATTTCATGAAGAACTTATCTTAATTGATCCCACTGTCAACAAGGCCAAATTACATTTTTTGCATCATATTCCTGATCAGATTATCCTGTATGGTGGTATACGACAAGTTGCTTGCTATAGATTTGAAGGTCATCATTCTATTTTCAAAAGGCATTTCAAAATTATTCACAATTATGTAAATCCAATGTTAAGTCTGGCCTTACACCATCAAGTCCGTAAATGTAACCAGATGAGGAAGAAGAATTTTCTCTATGATGGTCATGAGTACACCAATAAAATGGATGTTACAAATTTGGTGGATCGCCGTGTGGCTGCAGTAAAAGAATCATTCCCTACTGCTCCACAAATAATTGAAATTTCAAGACTTAAAGTTTACAGAACAGTCTATAAAGAAGGACACCTTATTCTCCTTGCCGATGATGAACCAGAATTTGCAGTAATTCAAAAAATATACTCAATTGGAAACAACAAATTTTGCTTTGTCTGCTTAAAAGCAAAGACTAGAAGTCTTGTGAAAGAAGTCAATGCTTACCACATATCAACAATGAGTACGCTGTTAACTGTTGATGTTGATCAGCTGAAGTATCCTCATCCCATTGTAAGACTTGTGTGGGATAGTAAGGATTTTGCCATGCCTCTTGGACACCACAAACTTTTGGCTGGAACCTGTTAAAATAGTAACTGAAACACCTTCTGTATGTGCCAAAAACATTCTGGAACTATCAGAGTTATCTGGACTACAGATCCTACACCTAGATGACAGGTAAATTT